CTCAGTTATGATGCTGCCCGTGGCTGTGGGGGACCTCGTGACCAGGGCTTTCTTAGGAGAAAGAGGAATAGTTAGCCAAGTTGGCCGAATCTTTAGTCCAATTGTGGGCCCCAGGGGGGCCTCAGGGGCCCCCATGGCGAATGAAAGGGCCTCTGACTTCATGGGGGTAGCCTAGAAGACCCTGTACTGCAAGAAGGGGCCTCTACCCCTCTACCTGCACGGGGGCCCCCTGGGGCCCCAGTGCTGTCTGAGGGGGTCCCTGGTGACACAGGGGGCCCCCAGCTGCATGGGGGGCCCCTGGCTGGCTGGAAGGACCCAGGCGATCTTCTATAATATGTATTTAAATGCAAATAGCTTGAGGCAATTTGTCTCGAGGTATATATGAACATCTTTTTGGAGCAAAAAATAAATACATTATTATTATTGTTATTGTCATTATTATTTTGTTTAAAGTGAAAAGCTTTTACCTGCGCCTTAACTGGCCACAGAAACAAGAGGCCCCCAATCTTGGGGGGCCCCCATTTCTGAGCCCTAAACCTTTTTAGAGCAGCAAAGGGAAAAAGAAGGGCCTCTTGCTGCTGCTTTGTTTGTTTTGCTGCTCCTTTTTGTTATTTTTGTTTATTTTTTTAAACTTTTTGTCTTTCTAGGAAGCAAAATCGCAAATTCAACTTTATTCTTTTTTGTTTTATTTACTACTTTGTCATTTTAAAAATTTCAAAAAATTTTGGTCTTTCGGCTTCTCGCTCTCCTTTCTTCGGAGCTTCTTTGTCTCTTGTCTCGAACTCGCACTTAAATGCCCGCTGCTGCTGCAGCTGCTGCTGCTGCTGCAAGCGTTTAAATTAAAGAATATAGTTGAAGGCAATGGAGATCCCATCTGTCGCTACGTGTCTGTCTATAAAGAAAAATATTTTCGCATAGAGGCGCTGCTCTTGCTGCTGCTGCTGCTGCTGCTGCTGCTTCTGCTAGGTAGAAAGTGCTGGGTAGAAAGAAGGCAGCGGCCATCCTGTGCCCTTTTTGCCTTTAATTCAAAACATGCAAATCATGCGCAATGACACTTTTATCTTTGAATCAATTTTCAAAATAAAACTTTCTGTTAATTTACATGAAAAATGAATTCCCGTGCACTTTGTAGCCACTAATGTACAATTTACAAAAATATATATATAATATATATATGTTACACATAAATATACATGTATATATTTATATACATATATATCTATGTATCTATTATATTTACATATTCTACACATGTATATGTATATATATATATATATAAATGCAAATGTACCCATTCTGTGATTCAATTTTAGAAATTATAAAACTCCGTTTTTTGTTTATTAAATACATCGCATGCATGCATTGACGCGGACAACTGGGCATTTAAATGTGCAAATAGAGAGAAATATAAAGTTGTGCTGCTGCCTAAACCCTAAACCCTAAACCCTAAACCTTGTCTTTGGTGTTTTGCTTCTAGGGTTTAGGGCTCCGGGCTCCCTACTCCTCTGTCTAGGGTTTAGGGTTTAGGGTTTATTCCTTTCGCTGCTGTCTTATATTCTCTTCTTCTCGTCTCTACAGAAGTGAAACATTAAAATTAAATTAAATAAAGAAATAAAATCGGCATCATGAAAAGTCCTTAACCAGTCCGGTGTATATACACTCTAGCAAAGGCGTTTTAACTCGTTTTCTTAAATGCCTTTTCAAAAATGAAAAAAATAAAAACCCTTTTATTTCGAAAGGCTGGCTAGGGCTTCCCGCGGTGTATGTACAGCTCGACTTGTTAAAAACCATTTTTAGTTTTTTCAGATTTTTCTTTTGCCTTAATTGAAGGCTTCCGGACTTCTTTTTTTCCAATAAATCCTAACCACTATTTTGTTTTCATGAAGACGGAATATAAATGCATCTACTCATGCAAATATTGTTTTATTTATATTTTTCATGTGAGTAAATAAAGATGCTTGTGTATAGATTACTTGTGTTTATAATATATATATATATATGTGTGTATGTTATACATACATAGATATACATATATACATATGCACGATTTATAGATGAATATATATGTATATATATATAATATATAAAATACAGGTAACCTGTAATCATTTACAAACCCATCTATCTATATATAAATACATTTATATTGTTTATATAGTTTTTAAATGTAAACTTTGGTTCTAAAGTTCTTCGAACTCTACGCATTTGTACGCACACTGCATACACCCCTAGTATTTATTATATGAATCTACTTTACATACAGATATATATTTCAAGCGTTTTATTTCTTTTTGAAGGCAAAAATAAATATAACTGATTAATAATATTATTGTTAATTAATTAATAATATTTATAATTAATTGAGTGACTTATTATTATTTAATTATTTGTACTTTATTAGCCACTGCGTCTGCTGCGCATTCTCTTCACACAAATGCTCTTGCATTTAAAATTGCATTTTCTTTCTTTTTGATTGAAGTTCTTTCTTTTTGAAGTTTATCAGCCTGAAGTTCAATTTCTCTAGAAACATTTAAACGTGCAAGTTGGGGAAATTTATGAACATCCAAACTTGCAACTTTTGGATAAAGGCCAAAATGTCAAAATTTCGGGATATTTGAAATGGGCTAAATATACAACTTTAAAATGTTTACAAACTTATCCATAAATCTCCAACTTTGGGATTTTCATAAATGCACAGACCCGCATTTTCGGGACTCTGTAAATTTGTCTAATTTCGGGATATTTACAATTACCCGACTTCTGTATATTTGTGAAGTCCTAAATGCACAACTTTCGGGTATTTATAAATGCACAAATGTATAATTCCAGAATATTCTTAAGTTTACAAATGCCCAAATTCGGGATATTTCTAAGAGTTCTAAATGCACAACTTCGGGGTATTTACGAAATCCCAAGTGTCTAACTCCAGGACGTTAGAAGTAATAAAATCCCAATTTGCAGGTATTTATAAAAGCCCAAATGCCTAACTCCAGGATATTTATACAATAAAGTCCTAAATACCCAATATGGGGATGTTTAAGAAGCCCAGAATGGGCTTTTGGAGTGAATTTGGACAGCAAAGAAGGCCAGATAGATAAGTGAACAAAACAGTTTATATTTGTTGGTTTGGCTGCAGCAGCTGCGGGGGCTAAAAAGCCCCAAAGCCGCCAAAAAGACCCCAATGCATGCATGCAGGGGCTGAGGGTATTCGGCGTTGTGGGGTGTACATACACCCGGACTTGCCGCCCGCCGCTCCTCCACGCGTCGAATGAAGTGCATTTATTCGAAAACAAACATGAAACAAATATACTTTTAAATGTATTATTCTCAAATATATTTATTGCATGCTTGTCTGAAAAGACATATAGACACAAAAGCCATTAATTTCTGTAAAGGTTGCACATGCCGCATTTCGCCTCCCCGCCAACGCTGTTCCCTTCTTTCGATGCGTTTCGTTTCTTTTCTCTCAACAGCAATTAATTAAACAATTATAATATAATAATAATGTTAAAATTAATAATAATAATGGTGGGAATGAGGGTGAATGACAGTGACGGTGATTGTGGAAGAACAGCAGCCGAGGCGACTTGCCCCCGCTGCTGCTGCTGCTGCTGCTACCGCAGCTGCAGCGGGGGCAGCTTGACTTGGCCGAGAGAGTTGGACTGATGAATTAAATAGCCATTCCAAACATTTGAAAGGAAGAAACACTTCAAACATTTGAAAGAAAGAAGCAATTCAAACATTTGAAAGAAGAAAGAATTCAAACATTTGAAAGAACTAGCGAAACCAACTAGAGCTCGTCCTTGACGTTCTCCCCGAAGTCGAAGCTGGAGAGCAGGTCGTCTGCTGCGCCCCCCTCCTCGCTGCTGCTGCTGCTGCTGCTGCTGCTGTCGGGCTCGGGGTCCTCTGGGATCTCGAAGTTCTCGTTGATGGGATCGTTGGGATCGACTCCAAGTTCAGCAGCAAAACTTTTGTACAGCAAATCCGCCAGCTCATCCGGCTTATCCACATCGAAGCCCGAGGCGAGGAGCGCAGCTTCGAAGAGCTTCTCAGCGAGCTGCTCATCCTCCCGCTGCTGCTGCTGCAGCTGCTGCTGCTGCTCCCCCTCCTGCTGCTGCTGCTGCTGCTGCTGGCGCGCCAGCAGCTGCTGCATGATGCGGTGGTTGGGGTTTATTTCGAAGACCTTCTGGCCCTTCATCATTTTCAAATGAAGAGGGTCTGCAAAGGTTTGGGTCTTCATCACTTTTTCCATTTGTGCAGAATAGCCCCACTGTGAAGCAGCAACTGCGCAGGGGGCCCCCAACAAACGCCCCGAAACCCTCACTTGCGAAACCCTAGACCCTAAAACCCTTTTGAAAAACACTTTTAAGGGTTTGAAGAACTTCTCCTGCGCAGACAGCCGCGCACGCTCCGCCGCTGTTTCCTCCAAATGCACTTCTCCCTTCTGCACGGACTCGAACTTCTTCCCTGAAAACAAAATAAATAATAATAAATAGTAAACAATAAATAAACAATAATAAATAATAAATAAATAGTTTATTTGTTTGTTTATTCAGCGTGGTGTTCTGGTCTGGGGTTTTTGTTCCCGTTTGTTCGGTGGACGCAGGAGCCCGTTCGAGCCCTGCACCCCAAACCCTAAACCCTAAACCCTAAACCCTCGCGGAGAAATGACGCTAACAACAGAAAGCCCCAAACCAAACCCCAAACCCCACTAAAACACCCAGCAGCCCTCCACCCCGCAAACCCTAAACCCTAAACCCTAAACCCTGCGGACCGTCGAACTCCATGAGTCTCTGGATGCAAGGTTCGTCCATGGCCTCGAGGAGGAAAAGGACTTCAACATCTTTTTTCAAAAAGTGCTGCATTTGAGGAAGTTTGAGAAGCTGCTGCGGGTCTTCTCCTGCAGCATAATAAATGGCCTGCTGCCCGGGCTGCATGCGGGCGACGTACTCCTCGAGGGAGATCTGCTGCTGGTGCGGCAGCTGCTGCTGCTGCTGCTGCTGCTGCTGCAGCTTGCTGCTGCTGAAGCGCAGCAGCTTCGCCACTTTGCTGCGGTTGTCTTCATCTTCGTAGCAGCCCAAAACCATGTTTCTCCCGAACTCTTTGTAGAACTTGTCGAACAAAGTGGGTTCCTTCATTTCCCTCTTGAGCTTCTCAATCTCCTGCTGCTGCTGCTGCTGCTCGCCCTCGGCGTCGGCCCGCTGCTCGCCCCCCGGCTGCTGCTGCAGCAGCTGCTGCAGCTGCTGCTGCTGCTGCTCCCTGAGCTTCCTGTCCTCGACAGCAAGCTTGCGGAAGGTCTCCAGGGCCTTGCGAACCAGCTTCTTCCCGAGAACTTTGAGCAGTCTTTGCTGCTGCAGCTGCTCGCGAGAAACGTTCAAAGGAAGGTCATTTGTGTCGACAACTCCGCGAAGAAAGCGCAAATAACGCGGCAGCAAATCGTCGAGCGCCCCCGCCACGAGCACGCGGTGTACGTACAGCTGGAGGCCCCGCTGCTTCTCGAAGACACTCGAAAACAAGTCTGCTGCTGCTTGCTGCGGCACGAACAGCAGCGCGCGGAACTCGAGTTCGCCCTCAGCAGCAAAGTGGATTGGCAGCAGCGGCTCGCTCCAGTCCGAACTCAGCGACTTGTAAAACGAGTTGTACTCTGCTGCTGCTACTTCTTTGCTGCTGCGCAGCCAGATCGCCTTCTGCTCGTTCGCGCGCTCCCAGCGAGCCACCTCGCGCTCCACCTTTG